ATAGAGAGCATTTTGAACAGAGATGGTCAGGTTTAGTAAGTTGTCATGACACGATTGACCCTTACGAAAACCGCTTTGACTGTTAGGAAGTGTGTTTTGGTTTTCAATCCACCATTGCATTTTATTCTTAATCATAGTTTCAAAGAGTTTACAAAGCGCGGATGTAAGAGCAATCGGTCGATAGCCTTTATTTTCCGATTTGGGTATGAGGTGTACAAAAGATTTTTTCCAGTCCTCTGGAAAGTCACCGGAGGTGTACATTTCATTATAAATATCGAGAAAGAGAAGTTTATATTTGATTGGGAGCCTTTGTAATATATAATAATCTATGCCGTCGAGTCCAGGCGAAGAATCGGAATTACGAGAGTCTAGAGCTTGATTAAATTCAACGAAATTGAAAGCGCTTTCGAGGAAATCATTCGGTTGGCATTCCGGTAGGTAATTAGAATCAAGACGCGTCGTAATTAAGGACAAAGTTTATTGAGAGCTTCTATTTTTTGGTCAAGCTGAAGATTTTCCGGTACATGTGCTACATTTACTTTGATCCATTTATTTTTTTAAATTTTACAAGTGTTCCAGACATATCGACCGTCAGTTAATAAATCAATGGTATTCGCGAATTTAATATAGCTTTCTTTCTTTTTTTGTTTGAAGGTTCTTTTTGAAATTGCAAGAAGTCTTTTATATTTTATAAGATCATCTAGATTTTTAGATATTTTCCATACTTTAAAAGCAGCATTTCTTTGTTTTTTAATTTTAGAACATTCTTCGTCCCACCATTTTACCGGATTACGATGGGCTTTTATATTTACTATTTTCTTTTTCGGGGTGTTCCCCGTAATAGCAACAGTTATTTGATTCACAAAATATTCATACTTTTGGCTCGGACTTATATTGTTATATTCGCGTGTTAGAAAATTTTCGTAAAAGTCTGTTAAATTTTGCGTTACCTTGTCCCAATTTGTTTGTGTAGATCTAATTTTGAGGCTTTTTTATGATATATGTGTCTTACCGTGCTGAAAGTTACATATATGGGCTAATGGTCGGAACCCCAGGTATCGTCATTCACTTGAACGTCTATTTTTTCGGCGATATTTTCACTCGAAAGAATAAGGTCTATGTTTGATGTAGAATTAGCATCTATGTGAGATATTGTGTCTGAGTTATGCAAAAAGTATTTATATTTATCTATACATTCCAATAAATTTTCGCCGTTAGTGTCGGTTTTATTACAGTTCCACTCTACATGGTGTGAATTAAAATCACCGACGATTATGCAGTTATTTTCGTTTTTGAAATTGTTGAAAATTTTGTTCCAATCTTCAAGTGAAAAGACGAGTCCTGGTGTTCTGTAGATCGTAATTAGACTGACAACCGGGTCAACATTAGTAATTTTAATGCCGCATATTTCAAAAGCCTTGTCAAGTACATCAATATTTTTTATTTCTTGGTATGCTAAGTTCGATCGAATCAATAATAAAATACCACCCCCAGTCGCATACGTTCCGTCTAACCTGTAATTGACAAATCCTAGAAAGTTGATGTTGATCTTCTCGTGTAGCCAGCTTTCAACGCACACTAAGATGTCAATGTCTACGAATGCAGCTTGTATTTCTTCTTTACGTTTCATAAAACTTCTTGCATTACAGTAAAGAATTTTTAGCGGATTATTTATTGTATTGTTCATTTTGAAGAATTTATTGAAGATTCTGAGTCGTAAGAATCTATTGCGTCATTTGAGCTAAAATGTAATACAGACTCTGGAGTTTCTAATCGCTTAGTGATTTTAGTAATGCGTGTTTTCAGTTTGCGATCCGTTAAGTGGGGATAGGCCTCTTTGAGCATATTGATGAGGCCAGATATGTCGGTGGTAAACTTCTTAGCTACTTCCGGTATGTTGGAGCTTCCGTACGATTCCTTGAGAAAGATCGCTAATTCTCCGAATTCGATTGGGTAATTATTGCTATTTATTAAAAAAAAGTTTTTGGCTGGGGCGATTTGTTGATCAATGTCTTCTTATAAACAGACCCTGCTAAAAATAATCCATTGAAAATTATTAAAAAAAAGTGAATAATTTTTAATCATAAATCTGAATCCCTCATATGCCAATTAAAATTCTATTCAAAACGATTTCTCCCGTGCCAGTGAACCAAGTTGATTAAAAACTATTGAAATGGATAACATAAAATTTCATTAAAATTTATTAGGAATCTAATAACATTCTTTGGGTTTTAATAAGAAATATAGTGATAAATCAATAATATTTAATGAAATTCAATTAATAATTATTTAGATTACATTCTATTGATATCAATAGTACTATTAGGTATTCAGATTTATGATTAAAAACTATTCAATGTTTTCCCGCAATTCAAGTAGCATTAGGAATCATTAATATTGATTGACTTATAATAAAATGCAATCGCTTTCAATAAAATTGATGATTCGTAATTGAAAGCGCGATTAAAATTGAATCATATTTAACGATATTCAATAAGAATCATAATTAATATCCACATTTACGATTAAACTTAATAATTTTTAATCACTTTTAAAAACATTTCTAAAAACGGACGGTTGGTCATGTTTAAAATAATACTTTTTTATATTTTTCAATGATCTTTGATTAGGCACAATATTGAATCACGTTTAATCCAATAACTTTGAATATACTCCAATAAGCTATCTAGCACTAAATTGTGCAATCACATTCCTCTATCATATACTTTTTAATATACCCCAATAAATTAAATAAGAATTATTTTCAATGACATTCAATATTTTGATATGCATTTGATTAATACTTTTTAATGGATTATAAAATTTACTTACGAATCACTTTCAATAAAATCGAATCACAAGTCCTACTCTCATCAACGAGGAATATGTTTCTCTGAAACAAATACTAGTGCATTACTGTTCTATTAAACTATTGCCATTTTATCGTAAGGACTTGGAGAGCTTCCAATTAATATCATATAAAATTTTCTCTATCATTCTTTAAAAATAAAAAAAATATTCTCATCTGCTATAAAAATACTGTTTGTCTCGAAAAGTTTCACATGCCTGCTATTTCGTATAACGGGGGATATATGTGTTTCTCATTAAAATACTAGTTCATTATTGTTGTATTAAACTATTTCCATTGTTATCGTATGGACTTGAAAAGCTTCCAAAAAATATCAAATAATATTTTCTCTATCATTCTCTAAAAATCCAACTTATATTTTCATCCTCTACAAAATCACGGTTGGTCAGGAAAAAATTCACATGCCTGCTATATCCTATACTGAGGAATAAATGTCTCTGAAAAAAATACTAGTGCATTACTGTTCTATTAAACTGTTGCCATGGTCATCATAAGGATTTTAGAACATTCTATAAACTTTCCTATAAAAATTACCTCTATCATTCTTAAAAGTCAGACGAATATTTTCATCCTCTACCAACTTACGTTTTGTTTCGAAAAGTTTCACATGCTTGCTATTCTGTATAACGAGAAAAATGTGCCTCTCATTAAAATATTAATGCATTTTTGTTCTATTAAACTATTTCCTTTGTTATTATAAGGACTTGAAATGCTTCCAAAAAATATCAAATAATTTTTTCTCTGTAAGGCGCCAAAAACCGTACATGATATTCTCATCTTCTATAAAACTACGGTTTGTCCTGAAAAAATTCACATGCCTGCTATTTCGTATACCGGGGAATATGTGTCTCTCATTAAAATACTAGTATACTGCTGTTCTATTTTACTATTGCTATTGTTATCGTAAGGATTTTGAAACATTCTATGAAATTTCTGATAAAAATTATCTCTATCATTCTTTAAAAATTGATTAGTAATCTATTATGTATTATTCAACAAATATTCAAACAATCCTGTACTTCATTTTTTCTGCCTTTAATAGCAGTATTGAAGATCCATATTCCGAATGATTTCTGTGATTTATTCCTACATTTTGAATTTATGAAAATTTTGTTGAACATTTTGAACACCATGTTTTTGTCGAGGCATATCAAAGTGATTAAAGCTAATCAAATATTCCTGAATTTTCAGGTGGCACTTCATTTGGTAAACATTTAATTTTGATCTTGACCTTCAGAGACCATGTTCGTGTCAAAACTAAACAAAAATGATTTAAGAGATCGTGATGTGTATTTCGTTCAACATTTCCAGCTTGTTGGAGAGCAACCTTCAAGACAAAATGTGTGACTGAGTTTAATCGGTATTCAGTGACGGAGGGCACAATGAACATTGATTAGTTTTCAAAAGTTAAGCACGAACTAATGTTTGCTGATAAGTAGAGCTGCGTTGCTGGACAAAATGAACGCAACTGACAGTATCTGGATTTCAATTCAATTTTTCATTAAAAAGCAAAATAAATTAGTTTCACAATTTTTTTCAAAGTTTTGAAAATTTACCTACTTGCATAGAATATAACATGTAATCTCTGTTAGTGTATAATGTATTTCTTATTAAAGATGTCGTGTAATCTATAATTGTTCGATAGCACAAGTTTTGTGTCGAACTTCATCGATGTTATTTTTTATGAATTGCTTGAAAGATTACACGACTCGCAAGACATAAATATGCAATTTAATTTGCAGAGATGCATTTCGACTTTATAAAAATGCAAAAAAAATAGTTGTAAAATCTTTCAAAATTGTATTTTTCTCATTGCCTACATTTTTATGTTTATAACTGTCAACATAAATATTAACATTGATTTTTCCGGATACTTCTGATATAAACAAGTTATGTTTTGATAATTTTATTTGAATTTTCGTTGATGCATAAAAATGTTTTTGATCGTTACTATTGGAGCATAATATTTTGTACTATTTTTTTATATTAAATTGTAGACAAGGAAAATACGAAAACAAAAATAAAAAATTTATCGGAACTCTGAACAACTTCAAAGTGCTAAATGCAACCTATCAATGTTACAGCTTACATTATTTTGATCGCAATACTACGACAAAGCTGACGTGGCAATTATGGTTTTGACTGTCGGAGATCTGCATACTAACAAGAATTTTATTTTGAAAATTGCAGTTTTGGTAAATTTAATTATCGTATTTTATTACAAAAAAAAATAAAGAATTCCAATGTAATTACAATAATTTTAGTTCGAAGGAATTTTTGTAATTTTTCTCTTCTGGCCAAAATTCTTAACCTCTATTACTGCGTGCGAGTTTTCTCATCTAGTAATCATAACCACACTGCTGATTACTTACATGTTTTTTGAATCAACTCCGAGAACGGTTTGTATTTGAATACACGGTTTTAAACAAAATTACTGCGAATATATTGAAAATTAATGTCGCACGTAATTATTAGGAAATATGCCTACTTGGAGCTTCTTTGATGAAACTTACGTTGGCGACAACTGTATATCTTTTTATGACAAGTAATTGATTATAGATAAGAATGTTTCAAAACTGTGCCTGTTCAAAATGTATTACTTAACTGATCATTTTAAAAATGTTTTATTTTTCAGAATCAGAATTAATGGACAGGAGATTTTTCATACACGTGTCATTCAATGGCCTTGCAATAATAATTATTATCTTCGATATCTGGATGAATATAAAGTTATCCATTCAATAAATCAGGATCTTTAAATAAATAATTTTTAAACAAGTTAACTTGGAAGTTACAGGGTATTCGATGAATCGATCAATATTTTAAATGACTGAGTTATGAGAATGTTCAAACTATTTTTTTCAATAAAACAAAATAATTGACTCGTTAAAATTTTCTTTTATTTAAATCGATTATAATTTCTGTACAATAGATATTACATTAAAATTAACCTTAATTATGATAGAACTTTTTATCAAAAATAAAGAAAAATTCTTGTACTAATGGTAGTTAGCGGCAAATTCGCATGGATAAGCCCCAAAGTATTCATGCTAAAATACAGAAGCCATGTATTATATCACGTATTCCACCAAATTGGCGCGATTTCAAACGACTGATCAGTACGAAATTAATTGCTTGACATGATATGCAATCCTTATATATATGCCGTGTTCTCGTAGATGGCTCTGCACACACACACACGCACGCACACACACACGCACACACACATATTATATAATAGCACTATTCTCTAGTGAGTATATTGTCTTTGTTTTAGAGTATTGTGATAATTCTATTAATTTATTGCGCATTCATTAGTTTATGTTTCTTTAGTCTGGTGTTGGCGTTGGATGTCTTAAGAAATTTATTGACTAGTTTATTTTGATGGATTTAAAGTTTGGAGTTATATTTTGTGTAGAATTTTCTAATTTCTTCTTTAAATGTAGGAATTCGTAAATCATTTCGGATTATTTCATTCGATAGCAATCAAGGGGCCCGTACTATATTGCGTAGAACTTTCGATTGAAATCTTTCCAGGATTCCGATATTCGAGTTACAAGTAGTACCTCATAGTTGAGTGCCATATGTCCAGACTGGTTTACGTACAGCTTTAGAAAGCAGCAGTTTATTTTCAATTGACAGCTGCGATTTTGTTACAATCAGCCAGTACATTTTCCTCTACTTTAGAACCAACTGTTAACGTTTAGTAAATACATGTTCTTTTCATGTAAGTCTTCGGTTTAGGTAAATACCTAGATATTTTACTTTATTGCTTTGCCAAATATATTTATGGTTTAATATAATAGGAGGATAGATCTTCGAAATATGATGTCATATATATTGATTTTCTTTCATTTATTATTATTCTCCAGGAATTGAACCAATTTTGAAAGTGATTTTTATGTAGTTTTGTAATGTTTTGGTTGCCTGTTACTTGTGGGTGTACTGTTAAAATTGCTATATTATCTGCATATGTTGCTGTCACGATATTAATAGACTTTGGTAAGTTCGAGTTGTATAACAGATATAGAGATGGACCTAGAACACTATTCGGCGGTACTACTGTTTTTATTAGCTGATGTTTTGATAGGTTTTTATTGATTTTAACTTGATAGGCTCTATTGCGTAAATAAGACTGTAACAATTCGTAGTAGTGTAGAGGAAAAAATCTCTTTAGCCTGTCCAGTCACAACCATGTCAAACCTTGTAAAAACCCTAAAGTCCATACATGACTTGTGTTCATAGGTAGCATTGGATACTCTTATAATTCCCAACTACGAAAACTCACTGAAATGCTTCTTTCTCTTTTCAAAAAATGAAGTAGACGAATCTTTTGAGTATTCGATGCAGTAACGTATTGCATAAGCCATTCGATGCGTGTTATATCGATCTTGAAGTTTTCGATGATTGTTTCTAATTCCACTAATTTTAGGGTTTGGATGACGGCATTTTAATCACTGCGTGGTCGTGTGAGAATTAGTTCATGTTTCATGTTTACCAATACTTTGCGATAATCTTCAGCAAATCCGAGAATCAAGTTTAAAGGAATAGTGACATCGAAATATCCTTCGTCGTTGATTATTTTCTGATCTTTTTCTGTTATCCATCCGGCATTTTCAGCATAGTTGTTAGACCAACGTTTTTACATTTATCGATTTCTATCGCATTTAGCTTATATAATTTCCTCAAACAAGTCACAGATGGCGTTGTTCACAAATAGAGTATTCGTGAAGACTAGGGTTTGCGGTGGAATGGCTTAAGGAGAATTTTACGGTGATCCACGCGATTGTGATTAAAAAAACCTGAGAAGTTCTGATCGAGTTTTGCAATTAAAAAATAACCAGATAGGTAGTCTCGACCTGAGTAAAAAAGTTGTGCTTGTTACACTTCTGTAACGCGTTTTTATTCTACTGAATTTTGTCTTTTAAGCAAGATCGGGCGTGCCCGGTCTCTACATAACCTCTTTTGAGTCAAAACCTCCTGCCAGCCCCCGTTTTACGGGCGGCTTTGCACCAAATTAAAATGGGGGACGCTGATTCCAGCGACCTAGCTCCGATGGATACTGAGGAGAGTTTGAATAACAGAAAGAGAATCAGAGAAATTAATGAAGATGACGATCAAGCGATTAAATCAAAGGTTCACGCCTCTAAATCGCAGAAGAAAATCCTCAACTCGCAACTCAACATGATTAACAAAGACAAAAACAGCTCTTACCCAGCTGATCAAAGTATAAAGAATGATCTGCCGACTGAAGGAGAAAAGTTTATAGACTTTTTCAAACCTGACAACCTTGGCCCATATGGTGTGTGAATTAGAAAAAGGAAAGACGACAAACAAGATTTAAGTCCCTACAAGGTCGGCAGCATCATATTCAAGAAATACCAGAACATTATTGATGTCAAAAACAGAGGCAGATTCAAAGTGGAAATTCTTTTTAAAAGAAGAGACGATGCCAACCGAATGCTATCAGATATCTCTTTGGAGCAGCACAACATGGAAGCCTTTCTTCCAGGGTACAGAAAGACACGCAAAGGAGTAATCAAAGGAGTCCCAGTTGAGTTTTCAGAAGATGACATTAAAGAAGGAATAGTTTCTCCAGCTGAAGTACTAGAAGTCAGAAGGCAATAAAAAAAAAAGAAATTTGCTACAAGCGATGAAGACAGATGGATTAAAACACGTACCATTGTCTTAACATTTTCTGGTCAAGTCTTACCAAAGAAAACAAATTTATTTTGTGTGAAATCTACAGTTGAACCTTATGTTCAAAAACCGTTAGAATGTTACAACTGTTTCAAATTCAAGCACTTAGCTAAGACTTGCAGAGGCAAGAAACGATGCATCATGTGTGGCCTCGAAGAACACGAAGAAGGCATCCCATGTCCAAGAGAGTATCCTACATGTGCCAACTGTAATGGATCACATAAAAGCATTGATTCCAAATGCCCTGTCTACCAAAAATACTTGAGGGTAAATATTTTAATGGCCTATGACAATATTTCATATGCTGAAGCAAGCAAAATCATTCTTGGTGAAAAGAAAGCTCCTCCAATGTCAAAGGAACATTTTCCTGGCCTCAACCAGCGACAAAATGATAGTTTTGCTAAAAATGTGAAGAAGGGAGTATACACTCTATCCATATACTATACCAGTCTCTATCTCAAGTCTCAAATACTAGTTCCTTGTGCTCGCAAAATTGCACCTATACTCAAGAAGAAAGTGATCATACAGTTGAACCTCTGGTTACTCAAATTAGTAACAATTATGCATTGTATACCACCGACGCGCCAACCACACAGCCTACTATAGCTGAATGGTCAACGCAAAAGCAGACGACAACGATTCCACAACCACAGTCACAGCAGGCGTTCGCGCAACCACTACGGCCTACGTTATCAACGCAGTCCACTATACAATCGACATCGTCGTTACCACAGAATAAATCTCCTTTAAATCATCAGACTTCAACATCATTGATCTCGTCACCGACTTGTCCTCAACAGAAACCGCCTTCATATCAGCAGCAACAGCAGACGCTATCTATGACCCAGAACCCTAAGATCTCTCACCGGAGCCGGCAACGGAGGGTGATAATTTACCGACACTCCAGCCAACGTTGGAGATACTGTCGTTCAAGTTGAATTCTGATAAATGTAAAGATAAAGGTTCGCAATCACCAAAGTTTTATGTTAATGAGAAAAAGAACAAGTATAATCCTGTAAAGAAAAGGTAAAATAGATTTCTTTAATTTCTCTTCTTTTTTTTTTCTTTTTTTTTATTTTATTTTTTTTTCTTTTCTTTTTTTCTATTTTTATTGTTGTCAAAAGTTAGTTTATTTCTTTCTTTTTAAATTTCTTCAATAATGGATAATACAAATCTACGATTACTACAATGGAATTGCAGAAGTATTAATAATAAGTTAGCTCTGCAAAAATATGCAGTCGACTATGACATAAAACTATTTGTGAAACATGGTTAAAACCAGAAAAAAAATTTTCAATCAGTAATTTCAATACATTAAGATTTGATAGATTAGCGGACAAAGGAGGAGGACTAATCTTCTTCCTTAAAAAAATATTATATATGAAAAAACTGCCTTAAACTTCAACTCGCATAGTCTAGAAACAGGTGCTGTTTTACTTATGACTGATATAGGAGAATTACTAATTGTATCTTGTTACAGATCCCCAGGGAACAATAATAATATTAGAGTAGACGAATGAAAATCCTTAATGGATGAAATAAACAAATATAACTCATTCATTGTTGTAGGGGACTTTAATGCTCATCACCCGCTATGGGGCAGTAAAACTCAATGTACAAACGGTAATGTAATAGCTGATAATACCGACTACGATCTTTTTTATCTTTTGAATGATGATAGTCCAACACATATTAACATGCCTCAATTGAAACATACGTATTCGAATATCGATTTAACTTTCGTTTCATGTAACTTGGCTTTCATATCACAATGGGTCGTACTTGAAGATTCATGGGGTAGTGATCACCACCCCATCGTTACAACCGTTAAGCTAAAATTAGAAAAAACACAGAAGCGACTATCGCATCAACTTGAAATATGTTGACTTTCAGTAGTTTTATGATATTCTTGAAAAATAAAAACTTGAGTTTCATAGCATTAATTTTAATAATGCCCCAGTCAATTATAGATATAAGCTACTATTAGATTTGCTGTACAGAGCCCTAGAGAACTCCAACACTAGGAAAATTCATACCAATACAAATAGAAAATGTCACGGTAGGAAAAAAAAGGAATTCTATCTGGTGG